AAGCAAGAAGACTAGGCACTGAGATGGTTGGTGTGTTTTATTATTTAAAGTCTGTGGTTAACTGCAGCCAAAACTGCAATGTAATCTTATAAGATTTCTCCCCCTGTAACAATGTTTTCAGAGAACACAGGTAGGACCCGCAGCAGAATGTTACAGTATACCCGTGCCTCCGGGCAGACAGCCAGTTGCACCTTCTCCAGGATGCTAAAAATTGGCTTTGTCCCAGTTCCAGCATTCCACTCTCTCTCCCAAGTAATTTTCCTATTTACTTTTCAGGAAAACATTTTGTGGCTACTGAGCATGCTTCAGTGTCCTGAGTTGCATCTCTGCCCCCCATCCAGGACCCAGGCCAATGCACACACACAGAAGTGTCTTCTCCAAACCTTAAGGATCTACCAATCATACCAACCTCTCTCTCGTTCCTCAGTGGACCCATCCTGTTCATTTGCAGTCCCTGGGTTTGCTGTTAGATTAAGTAATGGCCTCAGCTACTTCAATGAACCTGGTATACTTTGCATGTATTTGGGAAAGTCAATTAAGTAAAATTCTTTGTTGGTCATTATTTGTAATACTCTGGGGTGATAATTCAGAAACACTATTAAGCATTATGTATTCTTTTCCTTATTATAAATAAACAAAACAGTTATAAAGTCATAGTTCTCCATTCATGTGGAAGGAAAAACCGCAACTCTAAAACACTTCAGATACTCTCTCTGGAGGGAGACTCTTCTCAGATACCTTTCTGGGAGTAGGGTGACTCAAGTTACAGCACGATATAGCTGGCTCAATGGCCTACCATTAACAGCACCAAATCGCTGCATTGCCTTTTATGGAAAGGATACTTTCCTTAGCATTTAGAGTACCACACTTCATAAGACCAGCTCCACTAACTTCTTTCTGAGCTAAAACCCAGGCTGGACAGTACCACTAAGGTCTGCTTTGGGAAGGAGTTACCAAATCACACACCTGGTGCCCTTACCTTTGCAGGTTTCTACCAATGCATCCAGCCCAGGAAGGCCTGCCATGTGCACCGCTTTTGTTGATAGGTGTGTTGTCCAAAACACAGGGCTGCTGTAGCTAATTCTGGCATCTTAAACTCCTTCTCAGGAGTTGTAAACAAGACTAATTATAGGATCCTGAAGTCCTCAGCTCAAATCTTGTCTTACCTACAAACTCACTCAGAGAAATTAGGCATAATTACAGTGCCCTTTATTTATGATGTTTATACCCACTCTTCTTCAATTAGGTTCATAGAATTCCCAAGTGGTCTGCCATCCAGACTCTGACTAACTGACTGATTTGTGCTAAGCTACAGAAGGGGGCTGTTGCATCATCTGCCTTCCACAAGTTAATGGTGGTGAACTTTCTCAATATTAAAACCACGTCAGATATATTGCCCTGATTCATATAGGATGACAATGCAGAGCAGGGTTTTTGAACTGTGGGTCTCTATTGAATTATGGCTTGTCATTCTCTGCAAACCATGCGCTATCATTTAAGCATGGGTTCTTAACCACAAACAATCCAGAAAGAAAAGCTATGGGCTATTATTGATCTGTAGACTCCAGCTGTTTCTTAACAACCCACTATAGTTAGTGCAGACTTTACATGAAATGGCAACCCATGATTCAACAACAGCTCTCCAATCAATGGCAATCCATGTTCAACCCATACTGAGCTGTTGTTATGTATCAACTAGGTCTAAATTTCTGAAATACTTGGAATGAACCCCATTGGAATCTGTCCCTCCAAGCCCTCTTGGGCTTCCTCTTTGTGCTCCACCTGATCTTCCAAAATGAGCTAAGCTAAGAAGTCCACAAATGCTTGTAGACTCCCAGCTGCACCACCAGAAAGCTTCTTCCACTTCATGTGCAGCTGCCCAATATGGCAGAGGGGAGCTGCTTCTGGTTGCACAGGGCTCCTTTCCTGGGGAGCCCCACATGACCAGCCTTCTTTGGTGTCATGTGCAGCCACCCAAAGGCAACTCCACTTGGCATGGGAGTGGGATGCTGCTGGCTTAGCACACAGGGCTCCATTCCTGGTGAGCACTCCATGAATGCTGAGCACACTTTCCAGGGACTCAGGCTCAAGGAGCCACACCCAGGGAGTGCTAAAGATTTGCACCCCCAAACAGATGCCTCACACATCCTTACTTGCAATGACCTTAATGAGTAGGCGCCTATTCCTATATACATATTGCAATTGGAGGAGGTGGGTCGACATCAAAAGAAAATGGCTTGCATAAAGCCATTTAGTGAATTCATATCAGAAGCAAGATTTCAACAGGGATCTTCCAAATTCACAAAGTGCTGCCAGGTCCTAGGCATGTTTACATAGAACCAGTCACACGGAATACTGGAAAATTCCTTGGAGAATGAAGAAATGGAGCTCCAGGAACTACCTGCCATCATTGATGTCCAAGATTTGCTGATGGACCTGGAGGAGCTAGCTCCTCTGGGATGACTGCCAGAAGGGATTTACTTCTGGAAGACAAAAGCGCTGCCTCAGAGTTGGACAAAGAGCACTCAAGAGACACTGTGGCTGTGCTTGGACAATGGACCAAACCATGGTGGCTTTTTACTATTGTTGGTCTGTCATGTTGTCCAAACCCAGTCATGGCAAGTCACCATGGTAGGTTTGGTTTTTAGAAACCAACGTCCTTGCCTCTGGACTGATGTCTGGCATCAGTGCTACTGGACCAAGCTGCTACTGGACCAGCTCTGCTTACTCTTTGGACAGCTGTGTAGTCCTGGACTGCTTAGACCTTCTCCCTGACCTCTTTTTGTGCTGACCACCTGTGACTTTCAGGCTCAGATCCTGCGGACTTGACCGCAGAGGGCTCTCCATTATAGTTACTGGGCAACACAAACAGGAGGGGGTCATTGCATGCTCCTGGGACCTTCCTATGAGCATCTGACTGGCTACTGTGTAACACCAAAGGACCAAACACCATCACCCTCCAAAGGGCACAAGCTTGCATGAAAGTTGCATGTATTAATTTATAGATGCACACTTAAAAACTATTATGATTTATATAGAAATCCAGTATATCTTACTATAGTACAGAAAACTAGCCAGGTAGCTGAAGGCCTGCATGTTCAGGGTGTTGATAGGCAATAGTTCTTCTGGTTCTTTTATTTATGGATTTGAAGAGGGAAGTCCTTCAAATAGAAGATGGTACTCCACCAGTCCTTCAGTTAGAAGACTGTTCTTTGTAAAGGGGATACATGGCCACCCCTGCAAGTCACAGGACCAGAGAGGCCTTCACTCTGACTCACCAGGACTGTCATATTCTTAACCCCTTGTATCGAGATCAGATCATCAGCAAGACCTTACAGAGAGATGGGTGCAGAAAACCAAAAGCTCACCTGTGTGTCTTCCCCACCTGCATCTGATCCACTGAGGGTAGCTCTGTGTACTGCTTTGCTGAGAAAGGGCTCTCTGCACATGAATACATAAAATGCACGCACGCACACACACACACACACACACACCCCGTAAAAAGCAAACAAACCCAGAATCCACTCCGGAGCTTCTACAGAGCACCAAAGCAGTCACAGCTAGCTTGGCACTTGTACTATGGGATGCAATCTGGGCTAGCAATCAGAGGTGAAAATGGTCTCCAGATGACCCCAACTTGCCCCTCCTTGAATTAGTGCCTGTAAGATTTAAGCAATTTTGTGTCTTCCTTTCTGGTGAAGTTTTGCTTCTCTTGGGTGTGAAAAATAGGTGGCTACTCTGCCACCCAACCGACATGATTTTGGATGTTCTTTGCAGAGAGGGGCTACCGGAGAGGTTCCATGAGCAGAAGCAAGCTCCGCGCTCAGGAAAACAGGTACAAGGAGTTGCCAGAAGAGGCGGAGTAGTGAGGATTCCCCTTCCTGCCTGAGCACGCTGCACTTTGAATCTCTCCTTACACATTTTATATGGATTTGGCACAACAAACGGTACTGCCGGTGCATCCAGTTCCACCCAAGGGGGAAAAAGGAGAGAAGGAGCAAGGAAGGAGCGTTCTGAAGGCCTGGATGTGTGAAAAGTGGTATATGGGGTGGGAGGCAGTGTCTGCCACTACAGCTATAGAGGCTGAGTGATTGCTGTGTGCTTTTGTCCCTGTTGGGCGATAATGATTCCTTCTACTTATCAAAATCTGTCTGCTGTCATTCATCAAGAAGCAACCTTGCTTGCCTGTGCCGCTGGAGCAGCCCCCCAGATTATGCAACAGTATCAATAAACAATGAAAGGCGCGGATTAATGTTACATTAAAGAAGCGACTGTCAGCCTAGCAGTTGCCACGCGTAAAAGCCACCCCATTGACAGATTATCTGTTTTCGGGGTTTGATAGAAAAAATCACATTCAGAGATGGTTACTGATGATATTTGGATACCTACTGCAGGCAACATAGCTTACTTTCAGAGCCTTCTCTGCCCGTGCCTTTCTTTGCCCTCTAAAAATAGTTCAGATTCTCTGCACATCTGAAACTCAGTGTGCCTCAAACTGGGCACCCAGAAATCAAGATAAGATAATGCAATTCGGCATTTGTGCTTCAACAGACAAAACTCCACACTGGGCATGAGCTAGTGAAATATACCCAGAGCTTCAAAAGGCAGAAGTACTATGAATACATACATTTGGATGGAACTTTTTAATACAATTCATCATGAGATATTCTTGGCAGAAGAAAGTTTGTAGATGATGGATTAACAGGTCTGAATCGGCCCAGAAAAGGGCTGCGTTCAGTTTTTTCCTCAGTTAAGAGCGAGCTGTGATTATTAGTGCAATGAAAAAGGAATAGATCACTCATCTTATATGCTGGTTGCCTTCTCACAAAGCAGTCCCTGCATTCAGGAGAAGACCAAAGCTGTGTTCCACTCGTTAACAAAACAAGATCAGTCCTACATTCGCCTTACTGTGTAAAAACACAGAAAGAACAGTCTTCTGCCCAATTTCAGAATATTCTTCTTCATGGGGTGATGCTTTAAAAATAACCACAAAGCAGATTTCACTGTGTCTTCAGCTGGGAATGATTGCTCAAATTCTCTTGAGTCTCTTTGTGAGTCACAACAGATTTTGCCTTCCTTAGAATTAAAGTGCATGGGGTTCTACACGCTCTTTTCAGCTGTGATCGAGTAAACTGCTTACGACGTTTTCTGCACAGGGAGAAAAAGAAAGACAGGTGGAGAGGTAACTCATTTATCAGCACAGTCTATCAAAAATACAGAGCCAAACGGAAGAGTAAGAACCGCCTCTGGGGTAGGAAAGCTTGGAGGGAAATGAAATTAGACTGATACACTGTAAATTTAATAGCAATATGATAATTGGTGTGGTTAGTCCCATGGAGTTCGGTGGAACTTATTCCCAGCTACATTAGAGCGGTACGGCAATGGAGCCAATTATCAAGGGAGGTTGTCAACTTTCCCACACCAGAAGCATTCAGAGGGGCAGCTGGGCAGCCAGCTTTAACTTGGAGTCCTGCACTGAGCAGGGGGTTGGACTCGATGGCTTTGAAGACCCCTTCCAACTCTATTATTCTATGATTCTTAGTATGTATTAGGTGTTGCCTTAAAGTTTTGTTCATTTTCCCATCAATCTGTCATGTTACTGGAATCAAATCTGTCTGTGATGGGATGGGATGATAGTTTTAAATAAATAACTAAAATAAATCCCCATGCTGGTTTAGCAGTATTTAAAATAGTGAAATTGCACAGGGAGGGCATACTCAGAAGTAAATTCCCACACAAATAGTGCACTTCACTGAAGAACAGCGTGGTAGCTACCCAACTAAGGCTTACTGTGTAATTTCAGGATATTACACATCACCAGAAAAGTGTGGATATAGTCAAGGCACCATGAGCTCAGTCCTCATTTTGGAAGGCAAGCTTTCTGGTTGCCCTGTTGGAAAACCTTTGCCAAGAGAAAGAGAAGGAAGTGTGACCTTGTTGATTTTATTGGACCTCAGGGGTTCTCCATTTCATCGAACATGTCATCCTTCTGGGTGACACGGTTAATGGAAGGCACTTGATCCATACCATCAACCATGTCATCCAGAAAGTGGAAGCTGGAGACACTGCATTGCAGCGGTTCTGCTCCTGCTTGGATGGCTGACTGCAGAAGGTGGTGCTGGGAGAGTATAGCTCTGTACATTGGTATTTAATGTCACAGGGTTCCACTGAGTTCTCTTTTATTCCCTGTGTGCTCAGCATCTTCATGAAATTGATGGAGGAGGTTACCTGGCCATGTGCACTGAGAGATCATCAACATGCCACTAAGCTCTTTCTTTCCTTGTCATCACCTCTCAGTGAATGATGGTTAATAAACTGAAACTCGGTCCAGGTAAGATTAATGTATTACTAGGTCTATCTAAGTGATGTTCAACTTATTTTGGAAGCATTTGCATTCTGTTTAAAAGATTGGCTCATGCTTGATCCATCACTGGCACTGGAGGCCCAGGTGCTGGTATGGAGCACCTTTGATCAGGTTAGGCTGGTATACAGCCACAGTCCTGTTTGGCCAGAATTATCCATGCTCCAGTAAGCTCTTGCTTGGACTACTCCAACATATTTTATACAGGACTGCCTTTGAAGAAGGGCTGTATACTTCAGCTGGTCCAAAATACAGCTGAGATTGTTAGTAGGGATTAACCAATATAATCATATTATGCCACTGTTCTGTGATCCATCCTGGGCTTCTAGTCCCTTTCTTGGCCCAATCAAAGTGCTGCATTAACTTGCAAAGCTTTAAGTGATTTGGAGTCAGGCTGAATGGGGGTTTGTTCCTCTCATGTGCCTGTACCCTGAGATCACCTTCATAGCCTCTTCTGGGTTATCCCACCAAATTATGTGAGATGGGTGGCTACTAAGGAGAGGGCATGTTGCTTGTGGCACCACAGTTTTGGAATATCCTTCAACAGTGTGGCTTGCCTGGTGCCTCCATTGTGCTCTTCTTGGAACCAGATGAAGACATTTTCTGAGGCTTTTTAGCTCTTTGGTTTGTTTTTAAATGTGCATTCTTGTGTGTTTAGATTTTCCCTATTGCTACTTTTGACTTGAGTCCTATACAGTTTTAACAGTTTAAAGGATCCATGTCGTATCTTAGAGTTTTATAGAACTTTCATGGATGGCGGTATAGAAGTGTAATACTCAAAACTCATGATGTTTGGGGTTGCCAATTCCCTAACAGCAATCCAAAATCTGGCACCCTCCAAATGTTTGGACTTCAGGTCCATCAATCCAGTTCCGGCTTGGGTCCTGGCTACCTGAACGAGTGCTTACGTCCGTATATGCCCGACCGCCCTTTGAGATCTGCGGGAGAGTCCCTTCTCCGGGAACCCTCCATGAAAGAAATTAGGAGAGTAAGTACTCGGAGGAGGGCTTTCTCTGCGGTGGCACCCAACCTATGGAATTCACTCCCCAAAGAGGTCCGCCTGGCACCGTCGTTACTGGTTTTTCGGCGCCAGGTAAAGACCTTTTTATTTAAACATCATTTTAATTGTTAAAATATATGATCTGGCCAGGGCAACTTCTTCTTCCTTCTCTTTTCTCCTCCTATATTATTTATTTACTTATTTTATACTGATAATTTTAATTTTATATTGTAATGTTTGAAACTCAGTGTATTTTTTGTATTTTTGTATTTAATGGTAATTTATTATGTTCTATTGTATTTCAATGTATTTTATTGTGTTGTAAGCCGCCCCGAGGCTTCGGCAAGGGGCGGCATAGAAATGTTATAATAATAATAATAATAATAATAATAATAATAATAATAATAATAATAATCCCAGTCAATGGCGAATTGTCAGAATCCTGGGAGTTTTATCCCAAACTATGAAGGGCACCAAGATGGAGAAGGCTTCTTTGAAGGAATATTGGAAGCGACTGGAAGGCCATTGGGTCCAACATCAAATTACATCATCCCACTCAGACTAAGAACATTCATTGAATGTGCCAAGTTTCATATGTTCCTTTACATAGAATGTATAAGCAGATTCAAACCTGCCTATTAGCTGCTTAGCCAGTTTTAAGATTCTGGCACTTTAAAAAATTGGGACCAGGAAACTTAAAAGAGTCCCTTAACAACCAAAGTTGCTAAAGTTATTGGAGAACATTCTTCTGGCAGTTCCACATGGACCTGTGGCCAAATTGGACTCGATCAATAGAAGAATAGTAGTATATTCTTCTACGTTACTATATATATTGTAGTATGTCATATTGTGTGTATTATAGTACAAAGAGTATATAGTGTTAGCACTGCATCAATCTGGTCTATTCTTTTATGTACTCTTCTAACTGAATGAAACCCTTGGGGTGCTGCAGCTGTACCTGGTTCCTGGGTGTAAGCACCATTGATCTCAATGGAACTTAGTTTATAGGATCATGCTGTCAATTTCACTCAATGTGGTATAGCAGGAAAATCTGAAATGGTCACAAAAATCTTATAGTAACTCCTATTTAACCTCGCCTCTGTCTGCTATATCAGTTTTTCCCACCCTGGTGTCCAGATGTATGAGATTTCCACTGCCAACATCCTCAGGCAGGAAGTCAGCAGGGACCAAGAAAGCTGAGAGCTAAAAACGAAAACTTTGGATGTGGAGGACACACACAGAGCTTAGACTGCCCTGGTATCATATTCCCCACAGTTACAAGTGAGGCCTGTCAGTCAGTTAGGCCTCCTCCCATACATGGAGAAGCAAGAGCGGAGCAGGATATTTTTGCAAACATTCTCTGCCCTCTGAAGCTCCACAAAGCATTCAGGAAGCTTTGGAAGGTCCAGATCCAGTTCTGGTTGCTGGAAGGAACTCCTGCTCCTGCCCTCTCCAGAGCGGCCTGTCTCAGCCTAGGACTAGGTTCTGGCCAAATTGGAAGCATAACCTTAGAAAAGAGTAAACAGAAATGTAGCTGTTCTAGACAAAAATTCCTACTCTGACAGATTAGAATTCTGCCAATGTAACATATGTCACACGGTTGAAAAATCTCCTGTCTTCCCATCCAGGTCTATTTTGAGCTGTTCAGAATTAAATAAGAAATATGTTGGGCTGTGCTAAAGAAAAGCATAGCAAGCAGGTTAAAAGCAAAAGCACTGTTAATAGTCATAAGCATGTGCACGCACACATGCGCATGCACACATGCGCACACACACATTTTCTTATGCCTCCAAGAAAAGCATTCTTCCATTTTGACAGTAGATCAACAGGATCTTATGTAGCAAATTAGCCCACAGCAAACAAATCAAACACCCCTCCCCTTGGTGAAATATCTACAAAGTGACCCACTGAGCTCACTTTGCTTTTCATTATCTCCTTTATAACATCATGCATCCATGGAGTCAAGGAAACACACACACAAGTCCTATTATTAACAGGATGGGGGATCAAAGGGTTTGAAAAACAATGACATGTTGACCTTTTTAAAATAGGAAATAAAGTTTTCATGGGAGTAGGTTGGATCATATGAGGAGCAGTGCTAGATCAGACCAAAGGTCCATCTCATCCAGCATTCCAGACACAAAATGGACAACAAGCTGCATACGGAAACCTACAAGCAGGATACGTGTGTGAGAGCACGTTCTCCTGCAACCAGAGTCCTTGGGCAAAGTGTCCCTAGAACAGGAGGGGACACGTGACCCTCAAGGCTTATGCACTTATCCTTGGTTACACATCTAATAAAATATTTTTCCCACATGGTAAGGAGCTCCATGTAACAATCTGTTGAAACTCCATATCAGAGTATAAAATTCTCAGATTGTGTCCAAAGTTCTTGTGTTCCGGCCTAAACTAACTGATGTATGAAAGCATGGCATTGCCAGCCCTGCTGCCACAATCTGGTCCTGCTGCAGGTGAAAGAAATGCTTGGGAAGGCACTTGGTGCTTTGCCAAAAATTTAAAAAAAGAAGAGGAACAAAAGAGGACATAAGTTTGATGAAAACAAACTTGAGAGAGCCCTTTCCCCCAACATTCTGAAACTGACCATACAGTTCTGCAGGTTTGGGCATTCAGATGCTTTGGGCTGCCCCTGGGAATGCTTTATTCCTTCTCTCCTTAGTGAGGTGAGTCAACCATTGGATACACAGCTGTTGCAAGGGGCTACTGACTAGCCTCTGTGACATCCCAGGAGCCCACCACATGCATGGGTCCATAGGCACAGCCATGGTA